AGCATAGAAATAGGAACGAGGTAGATCCAACCCGACTGGATTTGGAAATGCGCTTTTTTTTGCTGCTTTTCCCAAAGCCCCAAAAAAGGCACAAAACACTGCACATACCAGTGAATTCTCAAGGAAGGTAGATCCATGGGGGGGGTACCATGCATATATATATATATACATATATGCATATACAATAGACATGTATCAGACATATAGATTCTACATATATATATATACATTGTATCATATGGGTCGTAATGCTAATGGGGTTCCTTTTGGTGGACATCATTAAGGTGGGAATTCATGTCCGCCAGGCAAGATCTTGCTGAATGCATCGACAACTCAGCTACCTGTTGCGCATCACACTGACCTTGCTCTTTGGGGGTCCCTTACAACACCCTTCCAAGTAAACAGGAACCCCTTAGAGCGGAAAGACGCAACTACCACGTCCTTCCAGCACTCCGATGGGTAGCTCCCGATCGGTAGCTCCCCTCTTCAAAGCAACTTTGGATACCCCCGGCTCCGAGTCCGGCTCCCTTCCAACAACCAGCCAGACAAGATCTGACACCCAGTGGACAGGAGGCCCTTAAAGAAACAAAGGCACAAACTGTTCAACAAAAGAGAAACCGCTTCGGGGGGCTTAACCCCAAACAAAAACCACCAAACGACTGCTGAACAAAAACTCCGGTCTTTCCTGCTCACTCTCCGCACCACGCCAAGTGCCAGCCCCCGCCTTTCGAGCGCGAGCGAGCATGCGAGCGCTCGCATTCCGAGTCTTGAGGCGCGGGCGGCTCGCCAGGTGAAGTCCAGTGAGTCGGTACGCTTCCAACCTTGATCGAAGACCTCAGCCGAAGCAGCGCCACCGGTGAGACCCCCGTTCCGCCGACCAGGGGCCGATCCGCCGTTGGTCTCAAAAAGGTACCCGGCTGATGTGTTCATTGGTTGTGTGTGCTGTTTTTTGGCTGATATGTGTTCATGGTGTTGTGTGAAAGCTTGTGACAAATGCCGAGAAAAAAGGGGCTCGTTGGCATGTCATTCTCCCTCGGCAGCACGCAATGGAACTCAAGCCCTTCCGACTGAGCACGGCACATAGTATCGTAGATGCAATTGTACTGTCACTTCCTGCCGGCCCCAGGATCGCACATAGGGCGTTGCTGGATACCCAACGTGGGGTTCTTGCAGGGAAACCAAACCCCATGTGAGTCGTCCAAACCTGATACCCAGAGTCATGCTTCAGGAATCAAAACGACCCATGTCGAATTCGCCCAACTATGGCATGGGGATTCCCTGCTAAAACCCCATCTACCCGACTCGGCCTTCCTCGCGGCTGACAAGGAGAAAGCCATGGAAGGCGCCCCTCGCTTCAAAACCGGCTGCCCCGCTGAAGCCGAAGCCGAAGGAGCCCGTTGGGCCCCGTTGGCACGGGCAAAGGGGCAAAGCTCCGAACACGCCATCCCGGCCCTGTTTGAGGTCCCAGACCTGGCAGAAAACTGCCCTCTGTTCAACTCCCCAAATCCCACTGAGCCATGGGAGTCCATGGGTCAACATTAAACCACCAGGATGTGGGCCGGCTTTGGGGTACCCATGTTTCCACTGACCAGGGTTCCATTTGGGGTACCTTTTTGTTGACCCACAGCCATGTCCCCTATCCTCAAGTTCCCTGGAAGGTTTCGAGCCATCGCCCAAAATAGTCAGGCCTCAACTTCCAGCGCCAGTTTTCTGTCCAATGGAAGTGGACAGGGGGTGAGCACACCCATATCTCAGTGGATCCAAAGGATTGGGGCGCTTACTTCTTGGTTGAGTGCTTTTGGCTTTTGGCCCTTTCGCCTTGTCGACTGTGGTCTTCCAAAACCCTCCCAGTTTCCATGCCTGTTGGAAAGGAAGCTCACAGCTCGAGAATCGCCGCCCCCAAAACCAGGGAACTCATCGATGTCGCGCCTCACTGTAGCCTAGTTGGCCCATCTCTGGCGCCGCGACCTCACAGACTGCACTCCAGCAGTCATGGACCCAAAGAAAACACGGGCCGACTCTTTTTGGGGGCTCCACGTGAGAAGATGCAGGGGAGTGATACGAATTCCCATGTTTTGCTGTCTCTGGCACGTGGTGAGTCACCCAGGCATTCAACCTGTGACAGGGTTCATTGGACCCTAAGCTAGATTGTTGGTCCCTGGTAGGAAAACCAAAGGAAACACCACCAAATGCGTAGCTTTGGTTTCCCTTTCTTATGCCCCCCGATGATTAGAATCCCCTCGTTTCCTGAGCATGAGGGCTCCTTGATGCTTTGGACCCTGGAAGCAGTCTGCCCAAAACCACACATAAAGAATCAAAGGGGCGACCGCACATCCCCCTCTGCCGCATTTGCGCGCCACGATCACTTTGGCACGAAAGCAACCGTTCATGGTCCTGGGAGTAGTGAGATCCCCGTGTTTTGTGGATCCTTGAGTGGGTCTCCCATCTAAGTTCACCTTGACCAAACTTCTTACAGATTGCCATGAGGAGATCCCTGTAGCCTTGGCAGAGACCCCCACGCAACATGGTCGGCGGAAGCCACGTTCAACAAGCTCCAAGCTCACCAAAAACTCCCCTCGTGTTCGCACAGGAAAATTCGGATCCTCCACGGGTGTGGTGCGGTGCAGGCAGGCCGGAAATGAAAACCGTTGCGCGATGCTCTGTCGAATTAACCCCTGTGACCGGAGAAACAGACAGAGGAAACCCGCGGGTTTTTGTTGGTGGAGGCGGCTTAAAGGGAGCCCACAACTTTGGGCGAGAGCCACACGCCCTCCGGAAGGCTGGGCGCGCCCACCAAGCGCCGCGACAGGGGAGGCACGGCGCAAGACACCACTTGGCCTCGGGCTCGGCGGCCGATGGAGGCTTCCGTTGGGGTGAATCTTAGAATCGGGGATCCCAAAAAGGCGGCTTCGTGCGATTGTACTTGTTGGCTTCCCTGCCACAAAAACGAAGGTGGCCCCAAGTTTGAGAGTGTGGTCAAATGGAAGGCACCTTGCGATCCCCAGCGGAAAGAAGGCGGGGCCGTCCATGATGTGCATGGAAAACTCATGCCTCGGAGAAGTGTTCTAATGAAATTCCCCGGAGTGCGCTTGCTCTTGCGCCCGTCAAGTGTTTCGTCGGTCCCTCCCCTGCAGGCAGTCCAACCAGTCGCCCACCTTTGGGTTTCTACAAATCGCGGTCTTGCGTTCAACGTCACCAGGAAACACCCTCAAACTAAAGCCCTTTGGGTGATGCGAGAAAACAACCCTGACAAAGGATTCCCCGGGCAACACTTGGCCTAGGGTTTTCTGTTGAAAAGAAAAATCAAAAAGGTTTTCCCTTGTATGAAACCAGGTCAGCCAGGAGTGGCCATCATTCTTTTCTACAACCCAAAGGGACACCTATGCCTGGCACCCATAGCCCTCCGTCGTCCAGAGGCCTCGGGCCATAGGAGGACCAACGTCCCGCCCCCGTCATGGCCGGGTGCGCAGAGCCGAACTCGCAGATCACTTCCAGCACCTCCAAACCCCGTGGCGGAGAACCCCTTTGGGCCAGTCTCCCTATGAAACCCTAAGAAATCTCAGCCCAAAGGAAAATTATCTCCAGGTCTCCGCCTGCGCTCTCTTTTCTTGAGTGAGGAAACAACTCGCAGTCTGCTCAGTAGAGAATGTGGGGGTGACAAAGCCATCCAACTGGTGGGTTCCTTGAAGGGAGGAAGCCCATTTGGCGCGGCCCAGAGAAAAAAAAATCCAACAATGACACTTTGAAAGTTGTTGAGCCACACCCATTTAGGGCAAAATTATCCCTTTATCTCCCCACTAAAAAAGATCAACCCGAAAGGAGAATCAGTTCAGCTTGGCACTTGGAGAGTTCAAAAATTGGGTGATCAACCAGTACTTCCGCTTCACTCGAAAAGGATGATTTGGAGCCAGAGGATGGTTTGGAGGTGCTCCGGGTGGTGCCCCAATTCACAAGAGCCAGAGGTTCAAATCTCCCAATCCAAACACGTTGCCTGAGTACTGGAAGGAGGTTCACTTCGGATTAATGTGGAGGACCGGAGGGATGGTTCCCCTTGAGTTGGGAAATGACCTATAGGGGGATTAGTCCTTTGGATTCATCCAAACTTCACATGAACAAAACCGTGGGGAACAAAACCTAACTCAACCGCGTCCGGGCTTCCGGGATGGCCCTGGAAGCATTCCCCTCTTTCCCTTCCAAGAACCCTGGAACTGGACCGACCTTTCCCCCCCTACACACACTACCCGCCTTTTCTTAGGGCATGTCAACCCTCTACTAAAAAAGGGATCTCGATGTTTCTCCTGGGAACAAAACCAGGTGTTCCCAAAAAATATCCTTTAAATAAAAGATGGTATTTGGAGTAAGGGGGGACATCATCCTTTCCAGACTTGGTTTAAAAGGGAACCAAAAATAGAAACATAGAGGGGGGTCCCCTGAAAAAGACAAGCCGCAGGTGGTTGCCGCAGGTTCGTCGAAACAAAGAGGCAACAGGGGGGAAAATGTGCACAAGCTGCAGTTCCTCCCATGCGACGTGGTCAAAACTCCGAATATATGGCCTACGATCATGGCTCCCTTAATGGTTGTATTAATGGCTGTTCAGCATCCTTACCAGGCGGATGACCATCCAAACGTTAACCCCAAGCAAAGGAATCGCTTTTGAACACATGGCACCTATGACCAGCCGACCGGATAAAGATCGGAGAAAACCACAAATACGTCCCTCCCATCCGGAGAAACGCAGAAGGAGCGACTCAGAATGGGTCGTCTGAATCGCAATCCTGCTCCGCACAGAGAGTCCACTTTATGTTCCAGGGCTGTTGGTCGGGCTCCCATGCCCCTAATTGTTGTGCCCTCTATACCCTTTGTATAGTGGCAAAGCAGTTGTATACCCCATTTTCCTGGACGGTTTGCGCAATTCGCTCGGAAAACACAATCTTCCCGTTCCCCCTTCCGCTATGGCGTGGAATTCCGAGTTCTCTCGCTGGCACGGCGAACTTGTTTTTCCTCCTGCTCACGTCTCCCTGCGAAGCTTCATCAGCGCTCTCCTGGCCAAGTTGGCAAAAACGCAACACGTCGAAGCCATGCGTTGGGAAGAATCTGGCAAATGAAGCCCAATAGAGCAAGCCATCTGCACAACATCATCCATTAAATAGGGAATCCCAAGTAAGGCGCCTCTCAACTCGCGGAAGAAAAGAAGAAGAAAAACAAAAGCGCGCGAAGCCGCGGGACTCCGAGCCCCAAACTCCGAGCCCCCACTTTTCGCATGACTCTCGCTGGAAGAATCTCCGGAAGAGCGTCCTGAAGTTGGACTTGTGCTGGTCGCTGACGTTGAGATCCGCCAGCAGCCCGCCTCGGCGGTCCCCGAGCCGCTCGCCGCAGGCGAGCTTCGATGGGGGTGCCCTTTGGGGAGTTGCAACTTTGACAGGTCTCCCAAAGGAACAAATACAACCATACAAATATCTATGGATGTTGGATAAAGCACCTCTGGATTTCGTCCATCAGTATGCCCATCGCGACCCCGACCCAACAATGTAACAAGCCCCATCCAGCCATCCACCCAAGTGGGTAGAGAAACCTGGCTTGTAATCCTCCGGAATGGGCTTTGTAATGCCCAGTGCTTCCAGTTACTATAGTAGGTAGCCAGGTATGGCTACCTCCAGGCCATGGCTGGTTTTTGGCTGCCTTCTATAGTGGCTTTCCTGGAACCCGGAACCCGGAGGGCTCAGAAGTGGAGACCCCCAAACCAGCCCAAACCAGGTGCTCAAAAACACAGATTCTCTGATTCTCTTTCATATAGGTATCTGAGACCGCGGAATGGTGGTGCTCCTCTTGGTTTCCCTTTAAGCCAAGGCAAAAGGGGTACCCTCCAAAAAAAGGAAAACATGCCCGTATTTAGTCCAAGTACCTGAATACGATATCGTTTTGGCATCGGAGACCCCTGCATATGTGTCACAGGGGACCGCCAAAAAATGGACTTGAAGGCTAACTTAAGGGTAACATCGGGGAAGCAAATTCCCAGCCCAGAACTTCCTGAGACCCGGCAGAACCCTAAACCACCCCAGAGCCCATCTGTGCAGAGGCTAGCCAAAACGCTTTCAAATCAGCTGTTGGGAATAAAGCTGGACCAACAGACTCCAGCGATTTTCCCTTCAAAGCCATACTGGGCACCACCGGATGGAAAGAAAAGCGAAAAACCTCCAGCACCTCTAGTTTTGCCTGATGTCCCTTTCTTCTGCCTGACTTCCGGGTACCAGCCGAAAGAAAGAAAGAAACGAAAAACCGCCAGCAGCTCTGCGACTTTTCCTCGCCGAGGGGCTGATGTTGTCCGCGTACCGCGCCCTGAGCTCCGCGGAGCGCCGCAGGCCGAGGCCCAGCAGCCGGGGGGCGTAGGCCAAGAGCTCAGAGTCGCCCAAAGACCTGGGAGCTTGGCTTGGGTGAGTGGAGGGTGGAGGGTGCGGATGGGTGGGTATGGGGTGGGTGGGTGGGGGGATGGGGTGGGTGGGTGGGGGGGTGGGGTGGATGAGTGGGGGGATGGGGGGTATGGGATGGGTGGATGAGGGGATGGGTGGGGGGATGGGTGGGGGGATGGGTGGGGGGATGAGTGGATTTGTGTTGGGAGTGGGGGTGAGTGGGTCGGGGTGGTGGATGGGTGGGGGGTGAGTGAGTGGGGGTGGGCATGGGGGGTGGGGATAGGAGTGCGGGTGGGTTTGGAAGTGGGGGGTGGTGTGAGCGTGGGTGGGTGAGTGTTAACCCAGAAAGAGACCTGAGCTCTCGCCACAGGAAAACTCGCTTGAGCAGCGCAAGTTTCACCCATTGACTTTGGTTGACACAGCTGTAAGGATTATATGGGCCTCACTATAGCCCCGATGAAACCAGGCGGTAGTAGAACCACCTACCAAATTGGCCATATGGGGTTTGGGGCGCTGCTCACTTGAAAAAGTGTCCCACAAAAAAAAAAACAAAAAAAATGCTAAAAGACGGGAGATTCAACCCACTCCTGTTGGGGAATTATAGGAAGCAAATTGCACGCGGAGAGAAACCGCTTCCGTTCTCAAAATGGTGTTCGGCCCGAGGAAATAGGCCGATTTTTGACAAGAGACGACTTGGAGGCTGAAGTGATTTGGAGATCAAACGAGTACAAGCAAAAGCACCAAAAAAAAACATCGCCCAAAAGCCATGTGGAATTGGGGGGGGGGGAGGTGGCTTTCAAAGAAGAACCAACGCGCAAAATGGCTCCCGAATAGCTTCAAAGCCCTCTTGACTCAAAGAGCAAACCACCCAGAGCCGTCCTCATTTGGCTGTCTCTCATAATGCCTGAAACTGGCGTACCCCAAGCAGCATTATCCTCACAAAAAGGACGCGCGCGTGGAACCCACATGTGTTGCCTGTGAAAAGGACGGGCTCATGCCTTCCTGAAGATATCACTCCCACCTGCCCAAGCCGGAGGCGCTGTAGCCAGTAGCTGAGGTCCTCATCCTGATGGAAGTCATGGGCCCAGCAAACGGAGGTGGCTGTGAATGGTCTCGGGGCTTAAAAGGATGTACAGCTTTTGGACCTAAGGCGGATTATGAACCCGCAACAAAAGGCAATAACCCCCCCTTAGGCCAGTCTCCTGCCCTGGTGAGAATGACAATTCCTGCGTCCTGGGTGGCTCGTCCTCTTTTTTAACGGTTGGTTGCACCCCTCCAAACTGGCGTCGTCTTCGGCTTCTTTTTTGGCTTCCCTTTGAAGCCAACCCAAACACAGGCGCCTCCAAGAAAGACGAAGGACCGAGCCGCACCCTCGCGCGTCCGGGGATACGCTTCGCTGGAACAAACAGCTCCGTTTCTGAGGCCGTTTTCACTCTACGAGTCAGCCGGCAAATGACCTGAGCGGAAAAGCATCGAAGCTTCCTGGATCGGCTTTGGGTCGCAGAGCCCAAAAAAAACGGGAGTACGGATTTGGGTTTCGAAAGCCCAATGTGAGTAAAACCACCAACGGTCAATGACTTGTTCTATTTTGCCAGGCAAAGTTCCCCTATTGTGAGATTGCCAAAATTTGCCCAGCGATCCGCGTCAAAACTGTGAAACAAATCCCCGCCTGAGGCCGGCTCCGGGTCTTGGAATACCTGAGCCACTCGTCTCTCGGTGGAAGAGCTCGACTTGGGCTCTAACGTTGGCCCTGCCCAGGGCATGACCACCCTCAACATGCCTCCAGCTGAATGGAAGTCCTGTTCCAGAATAGTACGTTAAGTGAAGGATCTAAAGAACTGAAATAGAGTCTCCAATTCTTGTTTCGGGTTGAACTGTTCTTGGTTGCTCAGCAGAACAGTGTCAGCAGGAAAGGACTCGGACTCTCCCTATTGGGCCCAAAATAGTTTAAATTGACTGTTTCCCATTGATCAAACTCGAAGATCGCCAAAGAAGACAAAGGGGCTTCTGGATCCCTGGCTCAAAAAAAGACAGCTGATCCTCAGCTCTCAGCCGCAGGACCTTGTACTTGGTGGCGTGGAGTCTGCTGGTTTGGAGTTTGGGGGGGTCTACAAGAGCCGCGTCGAATCCCAAACCACCAATCCAAACCACCAACTAGGGGGGTGCCTGAGTATAGGCTCTATCACATTGGGTAAATACACGCCTCGATGATTTTGTGAGGATTGACCGGGACCCAAAAAGGCGGCTTCTTTCGGTTTTCCTCGTGGTGTCCCTTTAAGACAACAAGAAAAGGAAAAACAGCCCATTAAACACCCTTCAGCTTGGTTACGTTGAAAAAAAAGACAGACCCATATAGTTCTCGACAAAGGACCATCAGGGAAAAGTAATGCTAAGTACCTTCTCAGGGCTATGTCCCGGTTTGGCAGCCGCTACTTTCATTTCTCAGCTTGGTTGAAAACAAGCGGCACCATCGTCAGACAGGCAGCTCACACATTCCACACTCACTAGTCACGCGTTTTGAACGCAAATTAACGACAACTCCAACCACACCAGCGTAAATTGCTCACAAGCCGGCTGGCGCAGTGCGCCTGACCCTTCAAACAATTGCCAAAACATACCATCATGCCATCATGCCATCATGCCATCATGCCATCATGCCATGAGAGCGGTTTTTTCGGCCAAAGTTCCTCCCGAGAATCTTGATCCCAAAAACACATTCTCAGAAGGTGCTTCCGAGACGCCGCTCGCAGAAGGTGTTTTGACCCTTAGGGCGGGTTCCATATTCACTTTGCCTTCCTTAAGAATCGCGGCGCGAGAGTCCGCTTCCAGGCGGTCAGAACGAAATGTCACCCAAGGTATTGTTCCAAACACCCTTTGATCAGGTTACCCTGGGTTTGCGGTTTGAATTGGTGGTCGGGAATTTGAACCCCGTTGCCCTTGAAGCCACACATGCTAATGGGGAAGGCACTCCCCAACGTCCAAACCACCGGGCTCCAAAGCACCAACCAAGCTCAACGGAAAATACAGTCGGAACCAGTCGGGAACCTGTCAAACCTTCCTCGCAAAGAGACGAACAAACATCTTTGGTGTCTCTGGTACGATACACGGCGAGGAAAACCTCTAACCCGTCAGCAGCGACCCGCCGTGCTCTGGATGAAGCCATTTTGGGGGCCCCGACGGCCCGCCGCGCTTGGAAGGTTCCGGGTAGGTGCCGCGCTGCAGCACGCTGCCAGGTAGCACCTATCGTGTGTGTGTGTGTGCTAAAAGTCGAAGGACTCAAGATAGGATGCCCAATTGAAGTCCATAGCCATACTGGAACCGTGCAAGTGAACAATTCAAGGGGGCAGTTTCCTTTTAACACCATCCAGTAAGAGTGCAATTTGAAGGATGTCACGTTGGTCCTCGTCTCTGGGCACGAGTTTGGCGCATCATAAATCCATCCGCACTTGTAATACCCCAGACTGTATTCCCTCCAATCAGATAGTCCCCTGCCCGGTGCATCTAGGTTCTGGTCGGTTTCTCGTACTCCATCTTTCTTTGCGGTCCCTTTGCATGGGCGCACCCAAATGCTGGGGTACAGTTGTCAGCTCCTACAAGTCACTGAAACCTCGAGATGTTTCTTTTCATTTGCCAAGCGCCAGTTCCACGTGCACCAGCGGAAAGGAAACCCCAAATGGCACTTTGCGCGGAGAGACGGAACATCCCATTCCCGCTTAAGGGAAGGCTGAATGATACATAACCTAACTTCATCTCTGGATGGCTTGGCCGTTGAAACCAATATATTCGCTCAGGGATTTCAAAGCAGGACAGGTGAAGCCAAGCGTTTGAAATTTGGAGCAGATGCAACTCGTTTTGAAGCTCATGCCCGTTTGGCCACAGAATTCCTCAGCTCTACCTCTTGACATCCAAACCCCACAAGAAACGCGTGCATTGAGGGCATCAACAAGGGTCCCTGACAAACAGACCCGCTGGCTTCTGGTGTCACCGGGTAACCACAAGGGAAAACCTGTGTCTTTTTTGAGGTATTCTTTCAGGGTTGGTTTTAAAGGGAAACCGAAAGCCATTTCAGGGGGGGGGGGTCCGGTCCAACCAAAAAAAAACGAGCCACCCTTTTGGGTGGTCCCCAAAGACGACGACTGGCGCCCCACTTTGCTCAAGCGCCGGCGCCGGCCTCGTAGAGCAAAGGCTCCACTCCGGGGGCAGGAGGCACGAAGCAGATCTGGTCCTAGCAGATCTGACCCACTAAAATAGACTAAAATGGGTGGTGCACCTATCCCAAAATGGTACCATTGGTTTTAAACCATGGTCAAAATGGGCGCAAGGTTCTCTACTTGGAAGTGGTGGGTGTAGGTGGGTGTTGGTGGTGGGTGTTTGTCTGAAATTCCCGTGGCTGGTTTCTATGAACCTTTGTTGAGCTTAGCCACTGGGTGGGGAAAGCCCCCGCTAATAACAAGCGGTTAACCCCACATGAACAGGGGGAACTTCTCAGTGGGGTATAACCAAACGGCTGCTGACAACGTACTGCCGAATAGTGTTTGCCCTGGGGTTTGTTGGGACCTGGTTGTTTCGGGTCTTTTGGGGTCAAAGCCCCTCATATTTCACAGGGGTCGACTGGATTCCCCAAATCAAAAGTTGATCCACTTGCTGGTTTCCATTGAAACGAGAAGCCAATCCTTCAAAGGGAAATGGCTCGGAAACCCTGAAACATGGACTCCCCCTCCCCCTCAAAACAAACAAGCAAGCTCCATATGCGCATGACACGCAAAATCCAACCTGCATGACATGTATCACCAACTTGGTGCCGGGGACTGTGCGGGCAGCTCAAAATCTCGGTCTGTCACCAAGACAACTCCGCCCTGATCAGCAAAAAGTCTCATGAAGCTTACAAATCCAACCAAAATCAGGCCCCCCATGGCGGTTGTTCACTGGTGAACCCCAACAAGCCAAGCAAATCACCGCAAATCACCCGCTTTCGCCAACCAGCAAATCACCCGCCCCAACGAGCCAACCAGCAGATCCCCCCCTCCCTCTTTTTGTTTCCGCCGACTCCCTCCATCCCGTCCTGGAGGTTCAACTGGGTGGGCTTCCTGGGTTCCAGGCGCGCTCCTGAGAGATGGCTTCTTGGGCGCTTGGGATGTCCCACTTCCGCCAGCAGTCTTAAATATACATGTATATACATATATATATATATATACATATGTGTGTATGTATGTATCTATGTCTGTCTGTCTGTCTGTCTGTCTGTCTGTCTGTCTGTCTGTCTGTCTGTCTGTCTGTCTGTCTGTCTGTCTGTCTGTCTGTCTGTCTGTCTGTCTGTCTGTCTGTCTGTCTGTCTGTCTGTCTGTCTGTCTGTCTGTCTGTCTGTCTGTCTGTCTGTCTGTCTGTCTGTCTGTAGGTAGGTAGGTAGGTAGGTACGTATGTAGGTAGGTAGGTAGGTATGTATGTATGTATGTATGCATGCATGCATGCATGCATGCATGCAATGCATGCATGCATGCATGCATGCATGCATGCATGCATGTATGTATGTATGTATGTATGTATGTATGTATGTATGTATGTATGTATGTATGTATGTATGTATGTATGTATGTATGTATGTATGTATGTATGTATGTATGTATGTATGTATGTATGTATGTATGTATGTATGTATGTATGTATGTATGTATGTATGTATGTATGTATGTATGTATGTATGTATGTATGTATGTATGTATGTATGTATGTATGTATGTATGTATGTATGTATGTATGTATGTATGTATGTATGTATGTATGTATGTATGTATGTATGTATGTATGTATGTATGTATGTATGTATGTATGTATGTATGTATGTATGTATGTATATACATATATATATATACACATATACATATATGCATATGTATGTACAAATGTAAACACACCATTTGGAGGGAGGGAAACTTCCATTTGCAAGGCGAGTTTGGCGTTTGGAGTTGGCTGAAGAAGCCACTCCCGCACCAGGGCGAGGCACAGATAAGGTCGGCGTTTGGAGTTGGCTGAAAAAGAACCCATGCAACATGACAAGCTTCACAAACCGAACTTGTCACAAAAGGCAGCTGAATCCCGGATGCCATGCAATTGTTTGCCACCAAGCATCTTCCAGTTGAATTGAAATCTCGGCGTCTCTCAGATCTCAACACTCTCACATCCCAAGCAAATCTAGTACGACTGCCTGTTGCAAATGATGCAGGGGATGCACCCTGCATGCCTTGCATTTGTTGGCTGATGCTGGAAATGCTGGAGATGTTGGCTCGTGATGCCAGGGATGCTCGCTCTGTCGGTATTGCAGATGGTTTCAAAGCTGGGGACTGCGGGAGTGCATTTTCTGCTAGTGTGCATGGTTGGTTTTCTCGAGGTTTGGAGGTTAGTTTACTTCTTTAGAAACCCTGAAACGCATCAGAGCAGCAGAAAAGACTGCAACTTGCACGTATCCCAAACAAACAATAGAAAAGCCTGGTTACCACAAATCCCACCCAAACCACAGACGCACGCCAAACCGCTCCCTTCCCAGACCGCAGAAATATCAGACGCCGAGCGTCCATTCACCCAAGTGCCGTTCGAGGACTTGTCCTCCGCTTGCATGGCTCATGGCCCAAATGGCCCGAAGGTGTCTGAGACATGGGTGTTTGAGACAGGGGTCGAGAACCATTGGGAACGAACACATTCACAAACGAAAGAGTTTCCGTTGACAAATGCACACCTTGGAAGATGGAGGTATCTGATTTGGATCGTGGGGGGCATGTTTTGGGGTACCCTTTTCAGGTTGGTTTAAAGGAGAGCAAAAAGGATCGCCCACCATGTGTTGATTTGTTGGGCACCTTCCAGGAAATGAAGGTGGAACCCAGCCACTGCAAATCAGCCGAAACCAGAAACAGAAACTTAAGAACAACGAATCCCCAGGACCCGTTTCGAGAATGACCTCCCAAAAAAGAGGGAAGCCTCCCCCAAAGCCCAACAGGTCCAAAACAGGTGCGAACCCAGAACAAAGCCTTTGCCAACCCAAAAGTTGTGGGAATCCTTCCCCCCCCCAAAAAAAAAACACGACCCGAAAGTTCTCGGAATCCTCCCCCCCAAAAACAAGACAACGCCCGAGAAGCGTTCACCGGAAGTCGGGTCCCCGGAACTTCTCCTCCAGCAAGAGCCTCATTCCGCCCTGGCGCACTAGGTGCAGCACCGCGTGCACCTGCGCCAGGGTACGGTCAGTACGGATCTCCGAAGCCATGGCGCAACCGGCTTCCATTCGAGTGCCAAGACATGATTCGAATGGGATCCTTGACAGATATGACTTGGCCATTCAAAGATGACCTTTTCCACACACACAAAAAACTCATTTTGAACGGGTCATGTGTTCAGGCGGAGGTTATGAGAATGCCGTGCGGGTGCTGGGTGCTGTCAAAATGTAGCTTTCCAACAATCCAAGTGGGCGTGCGCCTTTTCAAGCCGACCTTTTCCACACACACACACACAAAAAACTCATTTTGAACGGGTCATGTGTTCAGGCGGAGGTTATGAGAATGCCGTGCGGGTGCTGGGTGCTGTCAAAATGTAGCTTTCCAACAATCCAAGTGGGCGTGCGCCTTTTCAAGCGCACTGGCAGCTTCAAAATCCTTTCTGCCAGCTTCCCTGAGTGGACGTAGAGCACCTTCGCATTCTTTCTGCGCAATGATCTGACCCCCTAGTGACAACTTGTCTCAAGTTCAAAGGGACAATGGCGAAGACCAAAGCTGCAAAGGGTACCCTCCCACCAACATAGCACCTGTGGGAGGGTACCTGGAGGATAAGTTTCCTCGGGACCAATTCCCTGAGTGCCATGGCAGCGTGGGAGGGCAAGCTACGCCTGGCCATGTATTTAGACCATTCCCGGCAGGAAATGTCCACGTCCACTCCTTACATGAAGCCATGTTGCGGATGGTCAGAATCTTTGAAAGGAGGGCAGCTTCACCCAACGTCTAAACCCATCCCCAGGGTCCCTATGGGTCTGTCTTGCAGGGGAAGCCAAAGAATTGGTGATCCCATCTGCTCTCCCCCGCCCATATTTACCAAGAGGCCCAAAAAGATACCACGAGGAGGAAAAGAAAATCCAAAAACAAAACGTGGCTCCGGTGCAACGCTCCAACCTCCCCTCTCTCCACATTTTCACCCAGAAGAATTCCGATCTCAACGACCCTCGCGGACGAAGCCGCCTTCGACACGTGCTGCACCCGCAGAGCCACGTCCGCGTCGTTCTCCCGGCCGCACACCACGGTGGGGGACGTGGTGGTGACCAGAATCACCTCACTTAGAATCACCTCACTTGTTGAACCCCCTGGTCGACAATTGCGGGATCGTTGAGAAAAGAGCCAATCTCAAATTGCTTGCCAAGTCCATTCATCCAAATTCCAAAGGGAGGGAGAGAGAGAGAGAGAGAGAGAGAGAGAGAGAGTGAGTGAGTGAGAAAGAGAGCTGTTCCGAATCAACAAGATACTCAGCAGCTCACTCGTCTGCCAAAAAGGCTTCACTCTGCATTAAAATTGAACAGAAACAAACAAGACCTCAAAGGATCAAAAAGAATGAATGACAAACAATTAATAATAGTGATAATAATAACAATAATAATAATAGTCATGATGATGATAAGGAGCTTACAACAACAAAAATGAAAAACAAAAGAAGAAGAAAAAGGAAAAAAAGAAGGGGAAAAAACGCGCTCACCCCCCACCCCCCCCACTTCAAGCCCCACTTTCGGCCTCCGGCGGCCGGGGACGCTCCGAGCCACGCAGGCGCCGCAGCAAGAAGGCGGCCTCGTCGTCCTTTCGGAACCCGCGGAACCGGCGGTCGTCCGACGGCGGTCGTCCGTTTCGCGTGCCTCGCCGACCAAAAGTCGGGGCTTCCTTCAGGGAATAAAAAACAAGCTTCGGGGTTGACCTGGAGAAGAAAAAAAAGTAAACAGGGAACGCAAAAGGTAGAAGAAGTGGGATACCCCCGAAACAAATAAAGAAGAGGTTGAGGGTTTACCTGGCAATAAGTAAATTGAAATAAAGACATATTTGAGGCTGCCTGAGGGGTAGAAGCAGATGGGTAACCTGCATCAACCATGTTTAGGAGCAGGCCGGGTTTTGTTTTGCAATTGGCGTGTGGGTCGATTACCATGGTTATAAAGGCTGTGTTTCTTCAGTGTTACTATTAACTGCAATTACAGTATAAACAAACCAATTACTAGACCCTGCTCAAATGGCAAATAGGGGCTTCTGCTCAATTGATTCCAAGCTCCTTTGTCACCCTCAGCGACCAGGGCTTTGAACAAACTTTGCCCTTAACCCTTACCCACAAAGCCCGCAGAATGGAAGCTGACAGCAAGCGTTCTGAACTCCAACAACAGCAGAGGGTTTTGCATGATTCCAATTACTCCCGGATCGCAAACCCCTTGCATTGAAATGTGCAAAGACCAGGAGCAGATTCGGAACCAGAAGTCATGGGCGCCTGAGAGCCCTTTCACCTTGCCTTCCCTTAGGCCGTATTACCCCACGGCCTTCACGAAGAAAAACGTGAAGCCAGGCCATTCAATTGAAACACCTCCGCTTAGTCCCCAACGAGAGGGCTTTTCGGGCCCCGGAACACACCTGCGTCCGGAAATTTTAAGACGCCAATGGGTGTGTCTCAGACGCGTTTGAAGTGGCGCTCGTTCCTTCGGTTTCGTTTGGAAACCACCCATCAAACAAACCAAAGCCTCACGGGTTGGTCACAAAGGAAATTGGACCCCGGCAAATGGAAATTCACCAGCTTCCCTCCGATGGGTGGTTTGACGACAGCTGGCTTGGGCTTCCCTCCACAAGAACCGGGAGTTCAATCCAAATCCAAACCACCAACACAAAGCACCAACTAAGGGTATATAACCCGAGTTTGAGTTCCTTTGGTTCCCCGGAAGAGAAAGAAGAAGCAACAAAAGAGCCTGGTAGCTCTGGGTTGGTCTTGGATTTGAACTGGTTCTTGAGGCTTCTCCGGGAAACCATCCCACCTCCGGATCCAACCCATGGGAATTTGCGGCTGAAAAGAAGTGCCGCATCGTCAACGAAAGAAACACCCAGCTGGGTCCTTCGTCATGATTTTAGTCAGTACCCCGATTTTTCGGTTGGTTCAAAGGGAAACCAAAAGGAAAAACCGGAAGTCAAGATTTTGGAGGGCCCAACCTCAAAGAAAGGACGGACGACCCACACATCAACATACCAACTTGCAGAGGCCAAGGTCCCCTTTCCCCCAACCTCCGGCCTGCACGCGCTCGTGCCGGTACAGCTGCGCCTGTCGAGCGGTGCTTCCAATTTGGTGGTCCCCTAAACTGCTTGGCTCTGCTCTTCCCTCGAAGCCGCACAAAAAGGGGCACCACAGTTTGGAGAAATCCCGCAGGGCGCACACAGACGCTTGGACGGTTTAAAAGGGAAATGAAAAAGGACCGCCGCACAAAGAGGACCGCCCCATTTCAGGAAACCCCCAGCCAATCTGACAGGGCGTCTACCCCAAGCCAGGAAAGCGTCTCTCAGCCGGGCGAAATGGAAGTGGCTGGGGGCAGTTCGGGCGGAAACCCGAGTCACAATCCAATCCTGGTACGAAAATGGTGAACCCAGGACCATGTGAAGAACCAGAAAGGCGGATATCCGCAACGATGTTTCCGGCTGGGACAGCCCCTTACTAAGTGGCTCACTTGAGGCCACGCTCAAATGCGCCGTGGCTGTGCCATGAGATGGGAGGAAGATGAATCGAACATCAAGCGCCGCGTTTTGTATAAGCGGCGTGTTCAAACCAAGGAAATTGTATTTGGGTCTGTTGTTTTTTTCTACTTGTTTTTGTGTTTCCGCTTTTATATAAATAGTTGGTTTTAAATGGAGCTAACCATGTTTGGGGTCCGAGTCCTAAAAGCATACGCGCCTTGCGGAAACTGGCAATCGGACAGCGGGAACAAAGAACGGCTCACCTGCGGAGGCCCATAGATGGCACCCCGCAATACCAAAAGTCAGAGGCTTCTCCCCCAAAAGCTCCGGCCATCGAGCACCTCAGGTGAAAATTTGCGAAGCTCGCTTTTCACGGGCCATCTCCCGTTTTGGAACCTCCAAACGTGGAAATCAGGGGGGCTGGGCGGGAGGGAGGGGAGGGGAGGGAGCCCTAAATAAGGCCTTATTAAGGGCTGAATAAGGGCTTATTTAGGGCTCCCTCCCCCCTCCCCTCCCTCCCCCCCTAGCCCCCATGAGGAAACCGATTGTTTCAACCAGCAGGTCGATCAACTTTTGAGTTCGGGAAGTCCAGCGACCCCGCAGAACAGCTGAACATGCGCTCGCCCCGCACGAGAGAGCAGCACCCGGACACCCCTCTTGTGGAAGATGAGCGAATGACGTGTGAGCACGAGTTTTTCTGGGGGCCCTGGACATCCTTTGGGCTTCAACATCCTACACTTTTAGGACCTCCCCGCGAAAAAAATCGCGTTGCTTGTAAGTGCTCCTTGCAAGCTGAGCAAGCCGTGCTGTGCGAACCAAGTTCGAAGGGCCATAAATCCACGATGATTGAATCGCCCAATCATTCAACCGAATGCCAAGCGAAGACATCGATCTCTGTCTATGGTACCTATGTTGCGCAATCAATCTATGAATACAACTGTTCTTGGATTAAATTCATCGCCTTCTTGCAAACATGAATGAATCGAGCATCCGTTTCAAACAAATCAAGTTGTTGAAGCAAGTCTTGCCAAGCACGTGAGCTTTCAGCCACGCAAAGCCACGGCAGCGCATCCCCACCCGTTGCAGAATCGAATCCGGCCCCGAATCTGGGGAGAGACATTGGGGGCCAGAAGAATTCTAAGACCCGCTCCAAGAAGGTTCGAAGAACCTTTGCGGGTGGGGAGGGGCCGGGATTTGGGCTTGTCATTTTTTGAGGGTACCCCTTTTGGAGCGGTTTTAAAGCGACATCAAAAGAAAACCCGCCCATGATTGGGGGGTCCCTGTTCTTTTTTTACGACACGCCGCCACCTTCAGGGCGTCGTAGTCCCGCAAAGTGCAAAGGCTGGGGAAGCAGTCGCCCATGTCCCCAAACGGCAGGTACAGGCATCGACCTGCCAGGCAGAGCATGAGGCAAGCCTGCTGTCAGCTGCCCCTACTTGGTAGGTAGCTTGGATTGGTGCCCTGGTTCTTGTACAGGGTCCATGGGAAACCAGACCACCCAGACGACCCATTAGAGGGAAGCTGATATTCTGGGCTGCACAAGCCGACCCCAAACCCGGCGAGACTGTTGGCCGTGGCCAAGGCTCTCTCGCGCTTTGCAAGAACCTTGGGTTCTGGTTCTTTGGTCCTATTTGGTTCAAAGGGCTTGGGCCAACCCAGGGTTTGTTTCTGATCTTCACCCTGTTGTTTCGTCAAAGTTGGGGGCAACGAAGCAAAGAGCTTAAATCCACCCAAGGTATGGTTCTGATGATCTGCACCAACGATGTTTTGGCCCAAGGCCACTTTGCATGAAACAAACACCTGTTGAAGGATAGCACCAAAAAAAAACGGGCCCCGTTTTGTGGTTCCCTTTGGGACCACCACGAAACCAAGGTCGCAATAGACATGGCCGGTTTTGAGAACCCAGATCTGCCAAACACCTGAACCAGATCCGGGAACTGCCTTTGCTCTGAAACTTCCTTTCTTACTTGTTTTTAGTTTTCTTTCAAAAACAAAGGAAAACACACACACACACATACTCCCGCGCACACACATACATATATATATATATATTTAAGGCATTCGACCGTTGCGCTTTGGCATTCGAACGTGGCGAGCCTCGCCTGCCAGGCACTCGTACATCGCCTGGGCAATGCTCCGGGCGAACCCGAACGGCGCCCCCCGCAGTGGTTGCCACCGAGAAGTTGCAGTTTTTAGGGGGCAAAAGGGTGTGCTTGGCGGGGGATTTGCAGCACTTGTCGGCGGGGAAAAGGCGACAAAGGCCCTTTGCAATGCCGCAATCTCGACTTTCCAACTGTCCAAGGCCCAAAGACCAAGAGAACTCAACAAATAGTCCCAAAGACGGGCGCTCGATTCTCTGGCTTCTTGTGCCGCCCCCTCGCGACCTCCGCGTCCCTTTTTCCGTCAGGGGCGCCAGGGCGGCAGCGGGCTCCTCGAAGCAGGCCAGCAGCACCAGGCGCGAAGGCTCCGTGAAGATCCGCTCCAGCAGCAGCAGCCTCAGCTTCGCGCCGCCGCGTCGCCGCGGCCACTCCCCCCATGATCAGCTTCCCTCCAATGGGTGGGTTGGAGGCTCGGTGGTTTGGTGGGTGTGGCGGTTGAAGGGTAGCTCTCTACAAAGAAGGGCTTCGAATCCCCAAGACACCAACACCTGATATGATATGAAGGCACCGTTTTTGGATGGTTCTAAAGGGAAACCAAAAAGAAACACCCCCATTTGGGATAGTCTTCTTTTTGCTGGGATCTTGGCTACACGACCTGCTAGAGTCCTTCCCCCCCCCCATGGATGGAATAATCGATGGATTTTAACAACCGAACTGGTGTGGAGTCCTGTGACCAAACTGAGACCAGAGCACCATGAATGGACAAACTCCTGCAATCCGCACACACCGCTGCCCGGAGAGCATTTTGTCCATCCATTGCATCACACATCTATGGTTCTCACCTTGCTTGGGGAAACCAAACGGAAAAGTGGAATCCACTTTGATGTTTGAGTCCTATGTTGATACGTGCCCGGTGGTCGTTTCCCTACAGGACATGAGCCGCAGTCAATATGTATCGGGTGCCTCAATGACATTGGGTTTTGGTGAGCCCCCAATTGATGATGCATTTTGGGGGCTCGTCTGCCCAAACAATTAAATCCCGAAACAGTCAATGACAAGAAAATGAGTCTCGGTCTTGGAAGCGTAGAATCCCTCTTTCAGGGGTTCGTTTATGTCCCTCCAAATCCTCTCAAAGGGGAGTAAAAGGGCGTCTTTTGTAGTTTAGGACACCCAAAACCCAAAATGGTGGTGGTCCTTTCGGCTTTCTTCCAAAAAACCCAACAAAACCAGGGGTCCCCTCACAAAAAAGACAACGACACCCCACCAAAAAAAACAATTGCCCGCGGGTCGTGTCGGATCTTTCGCCAAAGCCGCGGCCCGAAGTGCTCGAAGAAGCGGCGCCAGTGGCTCTGCGCCCTCAGCGCGCTCACCTCCTCCGGCTCGGCCATACCTCGGGCGGGCGAGCCGCTCGAATCGAATGCCTCAAAAAGAAACAAGAGGGAAACCAAGAGGATCTGTGGAGGGAAACGGTTTTCAAACTAAGAGGGCCGAGCCATGGAATGCCTCAGAAAAAAAGCTTCTCGAGCCTCAAAGACTTGCTGAGTTGCATGACCCGAATCGACACCAGCCAACCGGTGGTGGAATTGCTGGGTTTGCCGAGGGAAACGGTGGACAGGGAAAACCAAGAGCGTTTGAGGATTCCCGGTTTAGGGTTTAGGGTTTGTTGAGGGTTAAAGGGAAACCAAAAGGAACACCACAATTTCCTATTATTGTAGCGAGTGGGGGGGGGGGGGGGAGAATGAAACTGAGGACAACCCCCCCCCCCCGAATGTCAATGTCGCATGTCTTAGACGTTGGAAGATTCCCCCCGTGAAAGCTTGCGCCTCCAACGCTTTAACGCGTATGTGTTTCCATGTCGGGGTGGAAGGGAGCGGCTTGGCAACGCTGTCGAGGGGGCCCTCCGAGCGCGGGTGAAACGTTCTTTGAAGCGGAGTTGCTCGCAGCCGGAGCCTCATGACACGGAGCAGACATAGTTACCCCATAGTGTTGCAGCATGTTTGTTGTCCACTAGTTGCATCCTGCCGGTTTCCATGGACAGGCTATCCCCCTTCGACATGTTCAAAGGGGGTTGCTTCTGAGCCCGCGAGCTTTCCCTTAAGCAACTCTTCGCCCACATTCCTTCTGCGGGTACGCTTCAGCTCGAGACTTGACCCTCCCAAAGGCCCAAGGTCAATAAAAGGATTCACTTGGTGTGTGTGTGTGTGGTTCATCCCAACACAAACATCGGCCACACCTAATAAGACCACAAGTCCCCCCTCAAAACTGGGCCAGACAAAAAAAGGACTCCTGCAAAAAATGTGACAAGGGGTTGCCAAAGGTAAAACGATGGAAATCGAAAAGGGAAAACAAAAGGATTGCCGCAAGTAAGAAACCTTCATGGGTCTTCAAATCGGTCGTAAAAGAGCGCACATCCATCATCCGAAAGAGGCGGCCCAGCTCTCCCCTTCAAAAATTGATTGGCCCGGCCGTCCCTTCGACTTTCTGAATGTCAGTCCGGAATAAGGCAATGAGTCGGAATAACCCCGAAGTAAGCCATCCCTGGTGGTTTCCTAGGGGATTCCCTTCCGGTTTGTTCTTCCAAACCCCTCAAAATCATGTCCTCCAACACCTCTGAGTCGAAGAATACCGGCTCACCCCGGCCGAGTCAACCAACGTCCCAGGGAATTCAATTGAGTCCTGGGCTGTCCGTTTTCACATCCCCTGCCAAACGTCGAACACTTTGAGTGGTGTCGAAACTACCGTAACTAAACCAACCGAAAACTGCTAAAAACCTGACTTGAACCGGATGGCGTGTCGAACTTCTCGGCTTCTCGGCTTCTCGGCTTCTCGGCTTGTCGCTGGTTTCTCGGCTTCTCGGCTTCTTGGCTTCACGTTGTTCGCGCGGGCCCCCTTTACCCCTGCATTGAGAAAAAGAGAACCAAAATAGCACCCAACGTTGTCAGAGGGATATGTCCATCGCCGCCACGCGCGAAATCCGACGCCGCGAAAACCGCCGCGAGAGCGATCGAAGCGAAAAACCTCGGCCCGGGCGGCTGTCGGGCACCCAGCTGGCCGGCAGCTCCAGCGCCAGGCCGGGGCTCTCGCAGAGCCGCAGACGCAGCGCCTGCAGAAGCTGCCTCGATCCGCCGATCCAGGCGCCGGGGTGGGCTTTGGGCTTTGGGTTGTTTTCTCTGCGATCTTTACGTAAGGACCTGGACCCTCCATTTGTTGTCGATATAAAAGGGACATCAATGCTTGGCTGCAATCATCCTGTCCCCTTTATGGGTAGTTGGAGGGGTTCTGGGGTGGTCGGGGCCGGGGGGTTCGTTTTGGGGGGGGTTGGAGGGGTTTGGGGGGGTTGGGGGGGTTCGGGGGTTGGGTGGTTGGAGGGGGTTGTGAGGGGTTGGGGGTTGGGGGGGGTTGGGGGGTGTTGGGGGGTTGGGGGGTGTTGGGGGGTTGGGAGGGGATGGGGTGGGTTGGGGGGTGATGTGTGAAGTAGTCGCTTATCCGGCTGGTGGGGGGGGAGGGGGGGGTTGGGTTGAAAGGTTTAGGGGGGGATGGGGGTTGGGGAGGGGATGGATGGGGTGTGATCTTCAAAGGGTTGAAGTAGTCGCTCATCACAACGGCGACTTTTCAAGAATGAAGGAAGAGGGGTGAAGGTCGAGGGTGTTTAACGCGTTGAATGGGACTATGCATTTGTTTTGTCACTCTTTTGTGAAGGCTGTTGCAGGGTCCCTTGAAGGATACCAGCTGCGGCCAATCAACAGCTAACCCGAGGCTAACCCCCATACCAGCTCATTAGAGTCCAAATCCTCTTGAAGCCAGTGGTTTTCGGATGTATGATGCTAAAAGGAAAAGGTGCTAGGTTGCACAGAAGGATCCCAGCTAAAAAGATTACAAGCTAAACTTACCACCCCTCCTTTTCCACCATGTTCCCTCTTTTCGAGGGTCATTGGGAACAAAGCCACTGTGCGTGTGTCCCTTCTTTTGGGATCCAACAAAAAAAAAACTGAGGAACCCCACCCAACACCCATCCCACACCCACCCAAAACCACCCAAAACCACCCATCCCACCCCCCCCCCACCCCACCCGAAGCGCGCGCCACTTCCCCCCGCCTGCTGTGCCCCGACTCGATGCCCTCCGGCGCGCCCTCCGCGGTGTCCAGCACCGCCTTCCACGCCACGAAGGCCTCGCGCTTCCGACTGAGGCGACCGACCGAGGTGGCGCTTTCGAGCGGAGGGCCTCCGGTCGAAAGCCTGAGAAACGTGTGGCCCAAGCCGCTTCCTTGACCCAAAGCGGAAGGCCAAAAGACAAACAAAGCAACTACCATGATGGGTGTGTGTCTTTGAAGGGTATTTGTTTTCAGGTTAGGAAGGATCGCGAAAATCGGAGTAGCTTACAGGGAATTGTTTTGGTTGCTTGAGCAAAAAAAAAAAGAACTTTTGCTGTACCACAACTATTTTTGGGGCACTTCTTCTCAACCCGCAGGAAGTCGCAAGTTGTCCCACCGATCGGTGCGAAATCGGTAGGGGAAATCGGTAGATGGAACGAACCCAGGCTTTGGTCCCAAAGGGAAACCACCAGTTGGATGGTTTATAGGGGTCATTCCATTTCTCCTTCCCTGCTGAGCACCGGCAAGAAAAGGCCACCTGAAAAAGAGCGCCATGAAAAGAACGAAAGATACTGTGCCACCACAGTTCATTTCCGTCACTTCGTGACTGACAGCCTCTGCCGCACGAATACCGAGTACACATCTGCCCTCTTTGCCACTGCATATTCCCAAGCTAGAGAGCCCATTGGCCCCTAGGCCTCGGGGCTTATCCCGGGAGCCCTCACAAATTCTGGACCTCAGCGAACTGCACTTCATTTCCAGGGATCTTTCTTTTCTTCGCGGGCAAAGACCTCTCCCACCCCACCCGCCTCGCCCTCCAGCATGGTGCGCACCTGCACTCGGATCGCATCCCAGGTTCCCCCGGGGAAGTCCGAGTCTTGGGTGGTGTATTCTAAAAGGCTGACACTCTGTGGACATAAAGGAAAGCCGAAAGGAAAACCGTTTCAGTGGGTCAAGAGAGGCATACCCTCTCTGTCCCGAGAAACAAACATCCCCCAAGAAAACTCCACTAGCCCGAATTCGAATGATACCACAAAAAAAATGTGTTGGGGCCCCCAAATGTTGGCTTCAAGGAAGCATTGCGTGCCGTGGCGTCCAAGGGAAGGCTTCCCATGAGGGCACAATTGGCTGTCTCTTGTTCGAGGCCAGAACGAACTTTCAGAGAAGCCTATTGGCTTAAGAAGGTGTCTCGAAAAGCTGGACCTTTTAACTTTCGGTAAAGTTGGCCCTTTGGTCGATTTGAGGGGTCTCCCCTTTCTCTCCAGGCTTCTTCGGCTCCCAGAACGAGAACCGCCCAAACCGCGCAATTCGCCACTCCGACGCCGCCTGGTACCACTTGCTTTGCCACAAGCTCCGGCAGGCCGCGGGCTCGCCCAGCACATGCGCGTGCAGCAGCCGGCGGTGTCCTCAGCCGGCGCAACGCGGCCGTGCCGTTGGAGCACGGGGCGGCTGGGGGGTTCTGGCTTCAGGTAAAGCACCCGTTTCTTTGTTTGCTTTTTTGTGCTTTTTCGGAGGGAGGCCAAACGGCAAGTTTTAAGCTCTGTGGATGGGCGCAACCCACTTCGCACAGCGAAATGAAACCACGGTTGAAACCATAACGTTTGTTGCTATTTACAAGGGCATCGTCAGAAACCAGGGGTTTCTGAAAGGTGGTGCGAGATGGATTTCGTCCACAGTAGGGGCTTATGGCTTCGGGTAGACGGTGCTTTTTGATAAGTCGGGGTTAAAACTTTGCCACCCCCCCCTTCTCCAAGCTGTGTACGTGACTTGGATGAGCAGGGAAAGCTAGTACATTTGAAGTCCTGGATGTATGCATGCCCATGAGCAGCTACTCACACAGTTGGATAAACCTCAAAACACAGTTGCAGTGTGTGATCCCGCCAGTTTGAAGAAGAAATCCGTTTTCTCAGGAGCATAGCAATTTACGCCTCATCCGCTCGATCCTCATACCGCCAGATTCCAAAACAGCCTTTTCTCCCAGGGCAACGTGGTTTGATCCCAAAAGTTTTGCCACAAGCAAGCAGGCAAAAAGGGTTCCGCATGTGACCCCCTTAAACATCACCCTAGAGGAAACGTCATACTCAAAACCTGTTATTAAAAATGATCTACCCGAACCATGCAACAACAAAAAACATAAGGACGAAGATCCGCGCCTATTTATGGCAAGGGGATTATCCCTAACCCTCATCTACCGGGCGTTGGTTTTGATTGTGGCTTAGATGTTCAAAACCATTAAAACTCGCTTCTTGAGCGGATTGGCGCAACGAAGTCTCAACTTGTCATTTACCTCCAAAATGGCAACCAAGCCCAAAAAAGTGACGAAAGCAACCAGGAACTGCCCGACCACCAACCAACCAACCAACCAACCAACCAACCAGCCAGCCAGCCAGCCAGCCAGCCAGCCAACCAGCCAGCCAGCCAGCCAACAAGCCAACCAACCAACCCTTCCGGAACTCGGGACTCGTGAGAAAAGGGGAGAACTTCAGAGAAACCGAAACCAAGCCGAGGCGCTGTGGGGTTGCCAGCAGGGCTTCCAATGCAGCGCAGCCAGTACTCGGTGAGTCGCCCAATGAGCGGGGTCAGTTGGATACTCATGGTTCCGGGAACAAAAAAAGGAGACATGTTGGTCGAATTGAAAACCACCTTTTGTCAGCTACTTCAAGGTCTGAATCCGGGTGTATCCTTTCAGCAACCAAAACAATGCTCCCCAGATCAGCCTGGAAACCGACAACGACTTATTCGAAACCTCCGTCGGGTCCATGTTCATCCGAGTGACGCAAAAAATTGGGATTAACCCAGCTGAGAGCAAAGTCGCATGGTTCAGTGGCCCGGAACTGGACCTGCTGAAAAAAAACTAAGCCCACGCCAAGCCCCTGAAAATACCTGGGCTTGTATCAGCTTTGCTGCTGCGCCTGTGATTTGCTGAGGTTTGTCAACCAACTGAGTGGTGTCGGAGTTGAAGCCTACCTGTCAAACATGTCAGCAACCTAACTTTGAAGGTCCAACTAAATCAAAATCAAGCCGAGTATGAAAGTCTAGCGTTGTGGCTCGCTGGAGAAGGCCCTAGTTGGCATTGAGTGCTTTGTGCGTAGCCGTGACATGGGTTCAAAACAGAACAGGCCCTTTTTAGGGTTCCAACCATAGACCCAAATGCTCCAAGCCAGCACCTCATTCAACGGAATGGTCACCGTTTGTGGAAGACTCAGTGCAAGGGCTCAGATCAGGTTTGCATATGTCAGTGTTGCAGTCCGGAAGATGACTCGCTAAGCCAGGTTTTTTTGGAGGGAAACATGTGTCAGCTTTTTTGCAGGTGAGTCCCTTGTGAACCGGACTCTCATGCGCAAGATGCCCTTGGCTACTGCCACACCATGAGTAACCCCTCTGCACACTGCTCTTCCACCTTGCTATAGGTTCCACGGGTCCCAACCCGCCCCTCGGACCTGCATCACCAGCAAGCTCCGCATGCAGCGTGGAGCCCACGACCTGAAGACGAGAGACACTTTTAGGACAATTCGTGGCTCAATCCGCTTTGGGCATGCGTCAGGTCGGAACGGTTGGAACCCCTAAAACAGGCGGAAAAAGATCCAACCATGTTGTCCTGATCAAGGGCACAACCAAAAGGACCCAACTTGGGGTGACACCAACAAACAAAATGGTGGGGGTGTTTTTCTTCTGGTTTCCCTTTGAACCAACCTAGAGCGGGTACCGAGCCTCACAAAAGCGAGCCATGCCCATGTTGACAATCAAATTGAAGGATGACATTGGTTGAACCTGGGGATTCCCGTCCAAAAAACAAGTAATTGTTCGACTATCGATCAAGTACATGAAGAACACCCATGCTAAAAACCCCTTTCGTTCAGACGGTAAACGCTCATGGATCAACCATGTCAGGGATTCCTCACTCATCCGCTGAGCGGAGCACGCCCGGCCACACGTTCTGGCTTGCATTCTCTCAGAGACCCTACCCTTCGAACCCCTTTCCGTCCTCCAGGACTTGATCCCACAGCTCCGCGGTCTCGTCCCTCACAGCCGCCTCCAGCACCAGCACCACCGGCGCCACCACACGCACCGGCCTCTGGAAAGCTTGGATCTAGTAAAAGTAGCAACACACGTAGGCATGTCTTGCGTGCCATCCTCACATGTAGGCTTGAATATGTAGAGAGAGAGAGAGAGAGAAAAAACAAAAAACAA